TATGGGTGCCGTGAAAGATCTGGTTGGTGTGTATGGTGACCTGTACGGATCGCCCGAAGCCTTCTGAGCGGACACGTTCCGAAGGACAAGTGACCCCAGCCCAGTGCGAGTTACGTGTTATTCGCCATGACCTCGTCAGCTTTCCGCAAGTCAGAGGTATCAAAGGAATACCACTATACATTCTCTGGCCTGATAAAGGAACCGTGATAGCCATTTTGGCTCGTGGCAGAATCTGGTTTGGCTACCTCGCGTTGGATTCCCCGTCACGCCAGCCGGTCAGGCGAGGAAAATGAAAAGTGGCAGGCTTTAGTCATTCTGAAACTCGTATTACAAATGTTGGCCCTATTTCGCTGCAATAGAGTGTGCCACCATATTTGCTCACGACGTCGCCCGTGATATATCGTGATACGTGAAACGATTAGTTTGAATGGAAAAGCTGGCTAGTCATGACGTTTCAATAACTTTTTTGTGCAAAAGTTGTTGATATCGTTTTGCTGGTCTTAATTTTAGGCCAACACTTCGGATTTCGGTTGGACGTTCCCGCTGAACTGCGCCGAATTGCGTTAGGAGAACACTTTTTACTCCCAATTTTATACTGTTGATTACTTGGAGCCGAAATTCAATGATTTTGAAGTTGGCACCTTGGCCAATCAAATGCTGTTTTAAATGGGAGAGTCTAGAGCACTGGACGAACAGCACCAGCTGGTTCAAAGCTGACAATCTGGGGTGTAATGATATGGTCCTCAGATAAAATAGGTACTGTTTTCACGAATACGTTCTTTACTCTTACGTTCAACATAGACATGCAAAACATTAAATATCAGTCTGTTTCAGATTCGTGGACATTGCCACAGCACAAAGGAGAAAAGCTCATTAAAGGCGAACGGAAACAAGCAAACAAACAGGAAAGTTATTCAGCGATGACTGTCAGAACGTTTTCACTACTGACTCTGGGCTCACAGCGTTTTTGGCTATTTTGGCACTCAAAATTAAGCACGCATTTAACTGCACAGGCGGTCCAACGAGACGTAGATTAAACACGGCTTAGCGCTCGGTTAGCTCTGATGACCTAGTATTGCCTCTGAAAGCACGAACCAAGGGCTCGCGCTGCGATCCTCTGGAGGTCTCAACAGCTTACCTGGTGACCCAAATATGCGCACGAACTCAACACCGCACTGCTGACGCAACACGAATCCGTATAAGAAGGATTCCAGTCTTTAATATTCCAGTCTAAGAGAGCCTTTGATCGTCGGCCTTCATGCGGTTGTGTCATGCATCGTAGAAAGCCGCCGTTCGGGCTCACTGCTCGCCCTAGCGCGCTGTATCTGCTTATTCCAACATTTTTTTTCGTCGCAGAAATGACAAGGCCGAGAGACGGTTTGTGAGTGACCAGCCTGTTTTAACAAGGACATCGACGGTAGCTGGCACATCGGTTCAGAATAAGCTCAGCCTAACGGCATCTTCACGGTAGGCTGCCCTGCGGTGACGCTCGGAGATCATCGACATCGCTTTCCCCGCATGCGATGGTTCCTGTGTCGTTATCTGTGATTTCTCTGCTTGTCACTATGACGGCGCGATGTTCGTCCCCGCAGCCCCGTCGGTTAGGACACCTGTCTCTTGACCTGCCGAGGCGGGCTGGGTGGGTTCGAGTCGCATCGACGCTCGCTATTTGACCCTGGGATGGCCTCCGGCCGGTAGCAGTAGCCACTCAAGGTCAGGTGAGGTCAAGGGTGTGACAGACCGTGCTGAGCAGCGCAGCGCAATAAACTTTCGTAACAACCCTTCGCCGTTAAAAAAGAATATTACGATCGGATGATGGGGTCAAGGCTCGCACAAAAAACCGTGCTTAGTGTGCAATCTGATCTCAGGAATCCATCCAGACAACAAGTTGGGACTTCTTTGGTTAAAAAAAAAACAAACGCAAAAGTGTCCATCTTGCGAGCGCGGCGAGTGACAGACACAGCACATCCGAGATGAAGCACCACCAGGTTTCACTTTCACGAGAGGTGTTCGTGGTTTCAAAGAAATGGGAAGCATTACATGGGTCGGTATTTCTTTCTTAAATTCACCACAAAGCCCGCTAATGACGGTTCGGTGCTCTTGGGAAGATGAAGATAGCTGAAAACCCACGACCGCCGTCAGAGGAGCACATTTTCACCTGTTTCAAACCTCAAAGTTTGAAACAGGTGAAAAGGGCTTCAGTATCTTCTTTCTTTATTTCGAGCACATTACCAAAACTATTCTCAGGGTATTAAAACGCGTGCCAAAAAAGTTGCTGTCATGTTAGCTTATCTGCAATGTAGATCCAACTACAGGCCATATTTTCACGATGTGCAGAGTATTCCGTGAAACAAATTGTCTTCAAGTCGACTTTGCATGCAATGTTTGATTGGACTCTGCTTTGGGAGAAAAGCTAAAAAATGCGCGCGTGTTAGCAGCATCAGTAATACTATCACCAACACTACTTAGGATAGGAGTGTAATACAAAACGATGCCTCTAACCGTTTCCGCCCGGTGTGCCGTTACAAAGCTGATACTCGTACCGATGAAAAGCTTGTCGTGATCAGACCTCACAAACTGCCCCACATGTCAGCGCCCCAGGTCGCACCGGCCTGGCGCAGACCGACAAGGGATCTTGCTTGTACCACCCGCCACAGGAGCCTCGCGGTATGGAGAGCAGGCCCCGAAAGCATCGCACTAGCGGTGTGTGAGTGACTCTGGAACCGTTCCCCTATAGTGATCTCTAGAAAAGCAGGGCAGTCGGTCATCCCAAGTCATCCCCATTTTCCGCACTGTCGACTGATGAAGCTTGTAACCAGGCCAGCAGAGTCTCCCGCATAAGCGCAATTTATAATTACTTTAATTGTGTTATTAGTATCGCTGCCCCCGCTGTCCTGCGCCGGGACAGCGTCACATGCCGCCTCCGGAAGAGGTCACCATCGCCAGGTGTGGGACGGACGCGGGAGCGGGTGGAACACCACGCACGGGTCTCAGCCATCCCCTTGGTCCGGTGGCGAAAGTTTATCTTAGCACGAGGGAGGTGAATGGACGCTGTGCTCTGGTCCCAGGTGTCAGGCGCGCAGTTTGCCACGCGGTTAGCGGCCTCTCCACCCTCCAGTCTAGCGCGGGATGGACTCGCTGTAGTCCGGCCGTACACAACGGCGCTGAACAGCGTACCCTGACCCCCGAGCGAGGGGCATCAGCTGAGGGTGAGGGCCGCGGCTCAGAAGCTGGAGGCTCAGGCGACGTCGCCGAGTGGTCAGTGCTCTCGGTTCCCACGTGGGGGTTCGGGCTGGAATCCGGATTCTGCCAGGGAGCCTGAGCTCTGGTTGGACTCGACTCGGCAATTCTTGCGAGCTCTTCCGCATAGCCCCACAAAAGTACTCAGACTATGCCGACCAAAAGCCTGCCGACAAATCGAATGAACTGTGTAAAACAATGCATCAAAAAAGAACACTGAATGAAGCTGCGGGAAGAGTACCTGCTTTGGATATTCTTCCTGTCCTGTTCTGCACATTGTTCATACGACCGAGCACCACCGCCCGACTTATATATAGATAGAAAATGCAATGCAGTGCTGTGGTTTAAAGTAACACTGTTATCGCCAAACTTAACCTGGATCTGTGGGACATAGCATGAATCTGTCGGACGGAACATGGATCTGTCAGACATGGCATGGATCTGTCGGAAGGAACATGAAACATGGACCTGTCAGAAGCCAGCCAAGTTGGCTGATGCGTTCGAATCATCTTACCACTCTTATAATTAAAGCTATAAGATACGCTGTAGGCTTTTCAGCAGCAATGTAGCGAGTCGTACTGTCTACTGGCGTTCTTGTTGATCCACTCATGGGTACTTTTACTCCTGTCTGACCCTGCCACTCGGGTTTCGAAACCCCTTATTTACAACATGTCCTTTTGAGGTGTTCAGGATTTCTGGTCAACTTAAGCCAAAAACGCAGTTCACAACATTGACAGATGAAGAAGTTCTGGGTCGATGAGGTCATATCATCAAACCAAGACTACATTTCAAATAACTGACGTTTGGTGCCCATATTTACGCATGTCATAGGAACCGCATATTGGTTCAAAGTTTGTTATGGATTCTGTAGCACTCGATAGACAAGATGGCTCGATGAATGGGCGCAGGTTTTCCAAATACGCTGCGGGGTCAAGTAGGCAAAAAATGCCTGAACCTGCATTCAAAATAAAGGAAAAGTTGTTTGCACGCGGATTTCACTCATTGTCTTTTCAAGGCTGGTAAGGCTAGCCCTCCTTCTCACCCACCCCACCCCCTTCCCCAACCTCACCCACCCCTAACTTAATATAAAGCTCGATATTGGCTGGATGTCGATGCACTGCATTTATTTGACGGTTTTATATTAACAGATAATCAACCCAAAACAACTTTCCGATTTCAAAGCTATTTCTGCTGACCGTCACCAGGTTCAAAAAATCTAAATCGTAAACGTGATACTTACTAGCCGATACAATCCTGTCCAGATGCAGTGGTCCACGCTTGTAACGAAGGACCGACCCCTGATGCGGAATTAGGGTGCAGCCAGGATTGTGTGTGTGTGTGTGTGTGTGTGTGTGTGTGTGTGTGTGTGTGTGTGTGTGTGTGTGTGTGTGTTGGTGTGTGTGTGTGTGTGTGTGTGTGTGTGTGTGTGTGTGTGTGTTGGTGTGTGTGTGTGTGTGTGTGTGTGTGTGTGTGTGTGTGTGTGTGTGTGTGTGTGTGTGTGTGTGTGTGTGTGTGTGTGTGTGTGTGTGTGTGTGTGTGTGTGTGTGTGTGTGTGTGTGTGTGTGTGTGTGTGTGTGTGTGTGTGTGTGCTCTTGTGTGCCGTGAAAACAGAGGACCAAATCCGGTTACACACCCAACAACCCGTCACTGCCGAGGTCCGGTATTCACTACCGAGGTCCAAATGCCGGACCTCGGTTTTCAGAGGCCTTAAATGAGATATTTAGTTTTGTTTGAACATGTTTATTCGATTTTCAGCTGGTCCTCGAAAAACGTAATTACACGCATTTTTACTTCCGGTTGTGTAAAGTGTGTTATCTTGGACGAACTGCGCGCGTGTGTAAGTTTTTCAGGTGGCAAGGTCACGTGGAAGAGAATAGAGATGAATAAGGAAATGCGAAATCGCGCTGCTCCATGATATGGTCTCATCACTTGTAAGTTGTTTGCGTTTGGTATAAGCATTTAAATCACATTGAATCACGTTGAAACTGGTGATGAAAGATATTAATGTAAATTGTGTTAAGTCACATGGGATACATATCTCTATCGCCGCCATTGCGCGTTCTTGGAACGAGCGCGACGGTGACATTGCGGTGTGCGGCCTCTCGGACGAGAAGACTGGGCTTACGTTGGATGCAAGTTATTGTCGTCCGGCAAGGTTTTAAAAAGTGAGTAGTAAATATTCGAAAGGGATTGGTGAACCCTGTTTACCGACAACTGTAGCTAATGGAGGACTGATCTGCCTTGGTTGATTAGAGAATGGTGTGCTGATAAGGATAGTTGCTGAAGTGGCAAACATTGTGTTAGCTTTTGAAGGTGGTTGAAGAGATTGACTTCAGCAATATTATGCAATTGTCTGGGTAGGTTTATCACGCTAGACCAGACGTTTGTAAGGGGGATGCTTGCAGTTTTTCTCATGCATTTGCAGTGGGTGTTTATTACATTTAAAAAATGTTGCCGTTAGGTACTTACAGACATGTTCCCCAACCCCCTAGAACAACACGTTTTCAGAGGCTTTGGGCATCAATTTAGCCTTGAAGGGGAAATCATTACAAACATAAGGTTTTCCATACATCGGAACCTTAGTGTGTGGTAGATACCAGAGCATAAAAGGGTGTGTGCCACATTTGTATGGGTTTCAATTGAAATTAGCCATCTTGAAGATCATTCAGTATGTTACACAGTCCTGCCATTCTTAAGCACCCTTCTAATTTTGTAAACCTTTCTAGTTTCTGATCTACACACCTGCAAAGGTGCGAATATTATTTCGTGGTGACTATTTCAAGGTCACCCAGGCACCCACAACGCGTAATGTCTTCAGATGCTGCCATTTCATTGGCCATGGGGCGATTAAGGCAAGCCATCATATGACCGTTGCGTCGTTCATATCCGGCTTTGTGAATACATTTTCAGACGTAACGACCGTCGGTTGGCTCAAATCAATGTTGTGCAAGATTACGTAAGTTGTTCAGTAAATTAGCATTAGCAGAGGAGCATTTTTCACATAGCTAAGACAATATTAATAGCCTTATTCGTCGAAGAAAACCGGGAGAATAAATATATAGTTGAATTGATATTTCGGCAACATGCGTATATCGAAAAAGTAGCAGAAATAAATTCAAAATTGCCTGCTGGTGGCCCTACCCGATTTTTCAGCTTTTTTGGAAATAGAAAGCCAGTTTTTACAGGACACCAACTCTTAGAGGATTAAACAAAAAGTTATTGCTAGCCGTTACCACGATACGGTGCTTATCTAATAATTAGAAAAGGCGACAACACGTGTACATGCAAACTAATTCAAGCAAGTAGGCGTCATGCATTACGCTTCATTCAAACATACAAACGAGTTGAGGTTAACAGGTATCACAGTCGCGCATCAATTATACATGCAAGCGATTTCAACTGAACAGACATCGCACATCACGCGTCAGGCGTCACTTCACATGTTAACTATTTTAAGCTAGCACACATCGCATATAAAGGCACATATCATGTTCGCAAAATCGGCCAGGATGAGCTTTGTATGTTAAAATTTGGTCGCTGATTTTTTGCAAGAATAGATTAAATTTTCCCTACCCGGGTGGTCCTCTCCTCTGTAGACGACTTTGGGCTCTAAAAGGGGCATAGGGTCCATACCTCCCTCGATTTCAGCCTGAGCATGTTTTGCCAAAAAAATGGTCACCGAAAGGGGTATTCCCTGTTTTGTTTGAGTTTATGTCGGGTAGTCCATACGTCCCTCACGTTTAAGATACAATGAACACCTCCGGGGCGCTAAAAACAAAAAAAAACTTACTTAGTCCTTAGTTAATCTCCACCCACTGAATAATTTTTAGCATTGTTGCTGTTTCAGGTGATGTTATAGCTACTGGATATTGAAGCGATTGAAGACCAGAAAGCCTTAGTGCGACCGGCTTGATTCAGGTCAATTGATGTCAGGAAAGTCAAATTATTTAGGAAATGACTACTCTGAAGAGGGTGTGAATCATTTGTGACATGTAGAATTTGTTGTCATCAGCTCTAACCTAGCATTTCATGCATGCTTTTCTTTCTCTATCTACCCCATCACATTGTCCAACACTGCCAACACCACTGCATCGTCCGACCCCCACAAATATGCCACTACACTGCCTGGCTCCACCATCCCTATCAGTGCCTTAACCAGTAGGATGTCATTACAGTGCATGACACCATGCACCCCACCACAATGTCTGGGTCTACCCATCCCACCATGGTGTCTGACCCCTCCAGCTCCATGCGAGTGTCGGCTCCATGCAGCTGACCCCATTGCCCTGCCAGTTTCACCAGTGTCTGATCCTGCCAACACCACCAATGTCTGCCTCCCCCCCCCCCCCTACTATTGTGTGACCATAACAGCTCCTGCATGGTGCGTGACCTCAGTGTAACGCCATTTTGGTATCTCATTCCACCATCCTCATCGCTGGTCTACGCAAGCACGTGTCGACTGTACCAGCCCCACTTTATTCTGCAACCAACGCCACCACCACCTGCACCAACACCACTAACATATCGCGGCCTGCAATTATGTAGGTACACCCGCATCCGCGTTATTGAATGGTCTTGTCAACATTTAGTGCTCCTTCTCTGTGGCACCACCGGTGCATGGCGTCATTCTTTAATGAAACATGCAAAAACATTTTTGTTCTCAGGTGGCCTATATGTATACCATTGGGAGAGTTAAAGAAGTTTAGTCCTCTAAAAGAAGTCCTCCGGAAAGTTTACTGCAACAAAGGTAACTCGGGCTATATTTGGGATGCTTAAGGACTTACGCGCAACAGCATTTTCATATGCTATTTGCAATATGGAGCATGATATTCTTCGGGAAGGACGGATTTTGGGGCGTTCGGGTCAAGAGTTCGAGCTCATGGGTCCTCGAGAATATTTACCGCGGGCACGGCTACCCGAAGAACAATGAGAAGCATTGGCGATGGTGGAAATAGGCCTCGTAAGCAGTTTCCCTGCCAAATTCGAACAGGTGGGGTGCAGAAGTTGCTTTAAAAAGGTTTTAGTCACTGGCAGTCTCGGTTTTTTCATTGTCTGTGAAATGTGTATGGCTTAGGATGCTTGCTGCAACATAGTTTCTTTAATTATTTACCATGAATGGGACGATTGAACCAAGCCTTGGATCATTACTATATGTTGTTTTACGCATTTTACGACGGGATCAATGATATATATATATATATATATATATATATATACATGCAAAAATATATATATATATATATATATATATATATATATAATATACATCACCAACGCCGGTTTGTTTGCGCGGGAATCACCGACGCTTTCATGAGCGTGGGGTCCGGCCGCTCACTGAACATAGCTTGTGGTAGCGGGTTTGGCTGCCACATCCGGCTCCGGGCCATAACGGTGTTGCCAAAAATCCATCGAGGGGACACTAAGCATGGTTCTGGTCTGCGCACTCCGGGTAGACCAAAATGCCTGCGAAGAGACCTCGTCTGCGGGGGCTAGACAGACGAGTGTCTCGCAATGGCGTGGAGAAGCCCATCCGCAGCAAGGAGGGGTGTCGGTCTTCCAGCGTGTCACGTTGTCAAAAACAGTTGCGGCGTTGGTGTGCATTGGGGCTGCCTCCCATCTGTTTCGCGGCCAGTATCACGGTGTGGCGTCGGATAGTTTCAAATGCGATGGTCAGGTCAGCGGTTTGGTTGTCTGGTCTTTTTGTAATTTTTGTTGATGCATTCACATATAGCGTGCAATCACACTCACAATACGCACTCGATCCAAAATCATCTATCAAATATATCATAATGTTTGCATCATGGCGCACACTACCTTCATCCTGCACTACCCGCGATATGGCAGTGGTCAGAAAACTGTCCACTCTTACCAACCAGCCAGTAGACATACACTTGGGCTAGGGGGGCGTACTCGCCCGGGGGCTGGGATGACGGTCTGTGGGCCACCGCCGCCTGTCTGTCGTAGTTTCGTCATTTCTTATTGATGCATTGTTTGAGCTTAGAGGCAATAAGCTTTTTACCACAACTCGTTTCGGTTATGCCTCGCTGTCTTACGACTGTTAACCGTATGGCGTGCATGAACAGCATGGCATTGACAGGGCGTAGTAAGCCTAGGACATCAGGGCATGGACTCGCATCTGCCGCATGCGGTCAGCGATGATACTGGAACTGTTGCTCTTCTCTAAATCGATTCCCATCGCAGCTGTGCGTGCATGGCTACAGGAATGAAGACAGGCACGCCATAGTTTGCCAACGGGCGCGCGTACCATGCATGAGGGCCGTCCGAATCACGGTAGCTGCTGATCGCGTTGACGATGAATGTTGGCGACTCTGCTGTTGTTGGCCTAATTTCAGGTTAAGTTCGGCTGCGTGGCTAGAGCTTAGTACGATTTATTGTTGTCCCCCTCTCTCCGCCCCCATCGCCGCCCCATCACTTCCTTCTTCTTGACGGCAGTGCATGAGCTCTAACAAGATGGGTAATATGTACGCGGACGGGAGGCCTGTGGCCTCCGATATTCATTCACGGATTTGCTGCGAACTGGAAAGCTATCTTTCGGGACACGACTATTGCACAGCTATTTTAATTCCACCACCCGTGAGCCATCAGCGTGGTGCATGCCCACGCTTCTGAACACAGGCACAACTTCCTTTCACGTGGGGGTCACAATCCTGTTCTGAACTGAAATTTCTCATATCTCACCCGTTTTCGGCTTTCCAGATTACTCCCCGAGAGCGACACTCGTTAAGGATGCGAGTGTTTGAAGTTCCGCTTTCAAGCATTGGACGGCCTGCAAATTACCATTGGAGCCAAACTGTATACATTTTCTAGATGATCTTAAATACGGAGCGGTATTCTAAAGATGTAGTTGTGCAGTGTGTAGTTCGTAGATTACGAAACAACGGAGCGAGAATACAGTTGGCGTTCCGTTTTGGGTCAGTTATTTTGTTTTCCTTTTTCCATGTTTTAAAGTCGCTGTGCTTTATGCTCAGGATCGAAGCAAAATGTACAGGAGTAGGCTGCGATGTGATGCGTGTTGTATAAAACCAATAAACCAAAAATGGCATCTCTGTCTGCAAAGGGAAAAATCTGGACGAGGTCGACTACCTCAACAGCGCACCAATGGCAGAAGAGGACGATCCGGAGGACATGGGTGAAGACGATTGTGTGGTGGAGGTCGCAAATGTCCTACCTGGACAAAAAGCCAAGAGGGGAAGGGAGACTTGTTTCCGGAGGAGACATCTTCACATCGAGAGACTAACAATGACGCTCAGGAAAAAAAACACCACTGGCAAAAAAGACGTATTGCCTGGTGCAATGCGGAAAAGGCAGCTGTGATGAGGCAGCTTGGCATGTTTGTTAGCCACATGGAGGTTTCTGGCCAAGCTGCATGCTTACGTGCCCTGTCAGCAGAAAATGCTCTGTCCTAGCGCTCATGGAGAGATGTTAAATCCATGTCCATAACGTGATTGTTAGAGCACGTCGTAAGGCGAAATGAGTCTCAGTGACTTACACATTAGATGTCGACTTCGTTCACGTTTGGATGATGCTCGCTAGTAAATTTCGCAACGACAAAAACGATCTCCTTGTTGTTGCTCCCGTTTATAGTAGCAATCTGTGTAGGTGGAGCTGATGAACGGTGAAAAAGCAGTGCTCACCAAGGGCAGTATGGCGAGATTTGCAATTCTGGGCGGAAGATGACACCTAAGCACGGAAATAGACCCACCCCATTGGTAAAAATGCGTTATACCTGAATGTCAGTTTGGAAGCAAATTAGGTGTGTCATTCTCCTGTCGCATCTTTCCAATACAGGATTCAATGCAAATGCTTCTTTCTCTACGTCATTTTTGAGATCCGTTGGCAAATCTGACACCACTACACTTAACCAAAGCACACTTGTTACATTGGGAAGTGGTGGGCCACAGGGGCCTTTGACTAGTTTTTGAAGACTGGAATGGGCGCGTGGGCGTCGAGCACGAAATCTCGCATCAGCCAAACAGCCGACATGTTTATGAGGCAGCTCGTTTGGCTTCAGTGACTGACTGCAATGACTGTAACGACTGACTCATTGATTTTAGTGTTGCACGGTCCTCCTTCCTCGGTCAGCAGCTGATTGCTACATCCCGCCGCACCATAGATTCCACTTGTATGAAGAAAGTGCATATGCGTAATTGACACGTATATAAAAAACCCAACACACGCAAGCCGTGGGAAAGGCACATTTAACAGGTAGCGTGAGCACGTGACTCACAGTTACACCAACAGCGAACCATTAACCCACACTCAGTCGCATAAGAGGCCATCATTAAGTAGACCGCTGCATTGACGCCGGCACAAGCCGTATCCCAAGCGCGGGCTACAAACTGTACCCCACCAATCGAGGCCGCCGCGCACTCGCGCCGCCAGTCACATCCACAGCATTAGAGGCTGTGTACTGTCGCCCTAAGACACCGGGGTTCGCGAGCAGGGTCGAGCAACATGGGCTTTGTATACTGACTGGAACGCCGACAGTGTAGAAGAGACTGTCGGAGTCACCTGCGAATGAGATGAACGGCGGCTGCCCACCGAAGCACCTGAAACTGCAGTAGCTCGGTCAGCAGATAAACAGTTCCAGCAGCACCTCGAGTCAATTTTTCCACCGCTGTCTGGCGCGTCGCCTCCGTTGCCCGCTCCTCAGCCCCGGCCGCCCTCTGCTGCAACCGTTGCAACAGCAGAAGCTTCGGGAAAACCGCCGTCGAGTAGTGTGCCGCCGACCGGGTCATTGATGATGCTTTAGCACTATTAGCACTATTAGTGCTAAAGGGTCATGGAAACCCAAAAGGCGTTGGTTGCCCTTTCTCCTACTCTTACCGGGCCGTTGGGGACGGAAAACATTTAGTGTCCCGGGTGTCCAGCCGTCGGGGCAAACACTCATCGGGTAGTTTAATGAGCTGCAGTCATTTGTTATGCGGTCCGAGGCGATTCCACAGCATGGAGCCAATGTCGTATGGAGGTCGATGGAGCCAAAATCCGTTGGTGATATCAACCCGCCTGGGGAGGGCTTTTTCATGAAGAGTGTTCAGCAGGTATTAACATGGCGTATGCTACTATTTATCCGACTTGATTTAGACTTTAACGGGACGGCCGGAAAGTGCACCATGATAAAATAGAGTAAAACGATTTTTATATTATAGATGAATGATTTAAGCAGCAGAAAGCCTACAATCCGCCGTTATTTGCCTATATCTGAACGCAAACCAACAGCCTGACGCGCAAGCAGGAGCGCAGGGAGGGAAGGCCACAGGGGGCACGTCCCCCCTGCCTAAGGTTTCAGGGGACCCGAAGGGCTTCGGGATTTACGATTAAGGGCCTGATTTGAGGGCCCAAAGGCCAGAAAGGTCGGCTGGAAGACTATTCAGAGCCCCGGCCGGCACAATGGGGCACTCCAATGCCAGCGATATTTTTGTTTGGGGGGGGGGGGCTTTCACCATTGGGGAGCCCTTTATCAACCTTGTGCGTGCCCCTGGCCCATTGCCAAGGCTCTGGCTGCGCGCTTGTGCACAAGGTAGCATATTGATATCTGGCCGTGTTTGGTTTGTCGCCGTCATCTTTCAAAGGTGGCCGCGACACTGGTTTATGAGATGGTCGTTGCCTCGCTGATTAATTAACATGTTGGTTTCAAGCGAAACATTTGTCGACAAATATCCAACACAGACTGTTCGACATCGTCTCTCACCGGTAAAGGGGCCCTCAGTTTCCCAGCAACCCCCAAGGAGTCCTTCTGAATGATGTTCGAGGCCCCCGACCTGAAAGCCTTTGTCCCTTTGTCCTTAATTTCTAGGTGCAACTCTTGGTCCTCAATACGCAGCTGAATATGACAGAAAAGTCACACACGGTCCTCTGTTATCACTATGTCCTCGGTATTTTCAATTGCCAGTGTAAGCTGAAGATGGCAGCTTTACCCCTCGAGCGACCCATCCTGTTCTTAAACGGCCAAATGGCTGCATGGCCTTCCAATTTGGCTGCGATGCCGCCATTCGTTCGGGTGGTTCTCGGTAGTGACGGCTGAGTCAGGTGTCCCGTAAAGCACGGCACACAAGTATGTGTGTGTGTGTGTGTGTGTGTGTGTGTGTGTGTGTGTGTGTGTGTGTGTGTGTGTGTGTGTGTGTGTGTGTGTGTGTGTGTGTGTGTGTGTGTGCGGAATTACGGAATACGGAACTAGGGTGCAGAACCTGATACGGAATTAGGGTGCAGCCAGGATTGTGGGTGTGGGTGTGGGTGTGGGTGTGGGTGTGGGTGTGGGTGTGGGTGTGGGTGTGGGTGTGTGTGTGTGTGTGCACGTGAACGGGTGGAGCTCAGTGAAAACTCAGTGAGGTCAAAATAAGTAAGAAATATGAAGAGTATCGTAACTTCGACTTGCTTGGTCATCTCCGCTCCATAATGATGAATGTCATTGTATTATCTAATCATCACTCTACGCTGATTTTAATCTTTCTTTCAAATGCTATCTACGGTGTTACAGTAAATAATGTCAGCCTAAGATGGCAGACCCCAACCCCCATTGTTTGGTCGCGCCTGCTTGTTTAAGTGTTGAGCCGGAACTGCCACTGCAGATGTCTGCTGCGAAGGTTCTGGCACTGGCGTGCCTGCAGTAATTTTAAATTGCATCAAGCTTGCAGCAGCAATGCGGCGATGACCATCACATATCACGCCGTTCATGTGATGACGTGTGAACCCCGATTGCTTTCACTTGTCTCTTAACAGCGGCATTCAGCATTGCACTACCTTCACAAAGCGCTATGTTGCCCTCAGTCTTACGTAGACGCGCGTGTATGGGTTGAGTTATGTGGTCGGTGAGATCATTTCCAGGTGCTGCATGGAGACAATTGACATGAAATGAGCTCTGTCTTGTGTGAAAGAAAGTGGGAGTTCGGTGAAGTAAAACGAGTTGTTCCACCAGGCTAAAGACAGACAGAAGCGCTTCAAAACCTACGTGGAAGTCTGATACCAATATCACTGATTATTGAAGTGGGCTTAGTTTATCGAAATAAGTTATGACCGCATAGAACTGCGAGTCTCCCCACGGCATGGACGGAAATGATCGGCAGCGGTCTAGGGAAGACCAAAAAGATTGCACCTAGGATGCCGTGGTGAACATCAGAAGGCCTTTACCAGAAATACTTTCTCTCCATCAACTTCGGCCGGCTCGCGCGATTTGGGATTGAATAATCTTTATGCTCTTAACAATATTGATATTCCGTGATTAGATGCACTACAATTTATTCCGACGCCGTCTTTGAAGTGATTTATTTATTTTCCATTCTGCGTAAGCAACAAACTGGACACATTCGAATGCTCGTGCTGATGCCTTAAACAGTTCGCTTTATACATGTCACGATCGGTAACATTGGCTTGTGCACAGTACAGAGGAAGGTCAGAGGGGCGAAGTGGCGGGCAGTTCTCTCAAGCCGCTCATAGTGATTGCCACCAGGGCACCTCCATTCATTCCGTGCAGCTGTCATTTAATCGCAGTAGGGATTTCGCAACCATTAATCAACATCGGACAATGGGAAGAGTTTCGCTACGGGTAATTGCTAATGTCCAAGCAAGTAGCAGGCGGAGAAAGCGATATGTGTGGCTCCACTTCACTAAGCCTTCAATTGCCCTGCATATTTTGATGGATGTCTGTTCTCTCCGACCGCTGAAGTCCGTTGATGAAGCATCAATGGGAGTCAGCCCCGAGGCGTTGTGGCAACACAACATTTGGCGTACAAGTCATCAGGGACCCCACCGGGTGAAGGGTTGAAAGCACGGGACCGATGAGGATGTATTACACCACAGACATCGAGATAACGATGTCGACATCGGCCGTTTGGTGCGAGCCGTAGAATTGCTTGCCAACGCCAGTAATGTTAGTCTCTCAAGCAGACGGAGCAATCACGATGACTTCCACGTTATTTATCTGCTGGCGATGCGCAAAGACGCGGTGATGTCGGTGATATGAGACGGTCGCTGTAACGCTGCTCTCTAGTCGTCACCTGCTCTGTAATCATAACTCTTTGCGTTATTTGCTTTCAGTTGCGGAGCTCACGCCCGTAATCAACGCACGGACAGAAGCTCCACTTTGGGCATCACAGACGAATATTTTGATGCATCGAAATTGGCAGAAAATGGCGAAGGTGACGAAGTCAAACTTATGACGCCGAGCCCTACCAAAAGACACCTTGACTTCTCAAAATTATCTTAATAAGATTTTTAAAAATTAAAAATTAAAAAATTATCTTAATAAAAATTACATTAAGTAAACCAGAAATCTGTGGAAATTTTACAATGTCAAACTGCCTGCGTCTTGGGATGACATATCGCTTTGTCTAATGCAGTGGAGTAAACAAATCATCTCATCGACAAGCATCCAATCCAGCCTTTGAGTACCACCAATAAGCTATAAGCGGGCGATTTGCAAGATAGGCTTACCGTAAGATAAGGCATACCAAATATGCCAAGTAAATGCGGAGGGCAGTGCCAAACGTCCTTTTTTACCTTTCCCAACGACTGAAGACATGGAGTCCACAGCATTCGAATGTGACAACTGCGGAGTCATACTTGTTCTTTTGGACCATGCTATGGGGAACTTCGTGGGATTTATGGCACTGGCACGAGATCAGCCAGCAGCCATATGGTACTGGCACGAGAGCAGCCAGCAGCCATATGGTACTGGCACGAGAGCAGCCAGCAGCCATATGGTACTGGCACGAGAGCAGCCAGCAGCCATATGGCACTGGCACGAGAGCAGCCAGCAGCCATATGGCACTGGCACGAGAGCAGCCAGCAGCCATACCCCAACCTCTGAAGCGATCGGTACAAATCAGGGATGCTTGGGACGGCAAGATCCTTTGCGGGTGAGGCTCCTTTTCCTAATCCACCCACTGGCCATAGGGCTTTGCCCTTATCCACCCGCTTCTCAGTCCGAGTTGGTTGTTCCCACCTGTTACCCAGTCGTTTGTACTTTTCCCAGTTTTTCAAATCCAATGAAGGAAGAGTTTCAGGAAGGACCTAACCCAAAATTTGCGTCTCATTACGCCAAAAATTTGCGTGAAGCCCAATCACAGCAATATCCCTAGCAGCCCACCAATGGTTCAGCACGAAAGTCAGCTGGACCGGTGCAGTATACTGCCGGACAGTCTCCCGGTAGCGGCACTGGCTGTCACCGCCGCGGGCTGAGACGGGGCGGGGGGAGGGGGGGGGGGGGAAGAGGCTGACCCACTGCGGCTGGGCTTACCCGAGGCGAGGGACCGCGAGACGAGGTCGTTGGCATCGAGCGGCCGTTCAACGCGATGGTGCAACAGGGCTTAGTTAATCTGGGGTGACGCCCGTTACTGGGAAGTGGCAGCTGGCCCGCACAAGGTGAAGAGATTGTGACAATGATCGCAGCGTAAAGGGAACACGCTTACCAATGTTGGGCCAGAGGTCCCTTCCCTGCCTGCATCTCCTTTATTGCTACCCGCTGCCAAGGCACAACGCTTAGCAAACTCAGCCCGCCTTTCACGAGAAGAAAAGAAAGAGAAGAGTAATAGATGACCCGTGACGATATCACTTCATACAGGAAAGACTGCGTCTTAACCAAGAGAAGACGATTCTATAAATACACATTACGATATACGTTACCACCAAACGCCACCATGCGGACACAGCTTTGACGTGCCAAGTTTTTGGGCGTACTAATGTGTCCGTGTCCGTGTCCGTGTAATCGTGTCCCAGACGTGTCCCACGCCTGAAATTGGACCTGAGAAGCCTAAACGTGCGCGGACTAAGCCATCGCTCAACTGAGTGTTTGTTCTTGTCCAGCCTTGATCCTGTTAGTTTTATGTGT